GACGAACTCTGTATTCCTCGTCCACACGTAAACGCAAAAAAGGAGTTTTAAAAATCTCAGTTTTCGGTGATTTGAAACGCCGTTTACGTGGACAAAACAGCTGCGTGTTCAAAAATACCCGTGTAGGTGCGGACGTAGCGTAAAAGAGTTAGTAGTTTATTTTATTACAACCTTTAATTTATTGCAGATTACTTGTATTTGTTTAATAGTTTACTAAATGTTTGAGGTGTGAAATAAACCGCAATGGAGCAAAAATATGGGCGTGTGTGGTTGTGCGTGTGCGTGCGCGGGCGCGCGGAGGGGGGGTGCGAGCATTTTTCTTGTAGAACAAAGGGGGGCCCAGCAAAAAAAGTTTGGGAACCACTGATATAGGGGATGCTTAGCTGGCTGTAATCAGCACAACACTAATCACAACTTTTTCAAAATTAAAAATGTATAATGTAGTTTTTTCTATGTGAGTGCCTTCTATCTAACATTCACACACATATTCATACTTCGCTGGATGCATCAGAGAGCAACTTGGGGTTAGTATCTTTTTTAAGTGATCCTGGCCTCCAGAGCTGCAAACAGGCTGCAGTTATTACAAGTATCGTTATTACTAAATGAGCCCAAAGAGTAACTGTAGATAACTGTCATTAGGCACTTACAGAAACATCGGCAACAACGAAACCCTACGTAAGTCACAAAAACAGGTAAATCTCGCTGCTTTCGGAGGCACGAAGATTAAGTCCACAGGCACAGTTACTCTCAAGTGCAAGCTAGCTGGACAGTTATATGACCTGCAATTCCAAGTTGTAAAACACGATGTGCAACCCATCATCGGATTAAAGGACAGCGTGCGAATGAAACTGGTTAGTTTCAGCAAGGAAGTCTACCATGTTGACACAGATCAGGATGAGACACCTGCACAGAAAGTTTTTTACGAATACACAGACCTGTTCAAAGATGAAGTCGGTGGCTTACCTGTAACCTACTCAATGAAACTCACTCCAAACGTGTCACCTGTTGTCAACCCTCTAAAGACGCGTTCCTGTTCCCATGCAGTAAAGGTTAAAGAGGAACTCCAAAGAATGCAGGCCGTGGGAGTAACTGAACCAGTGGAGGAACCCACAGAATGGGTATCCAACATGGTCGCAACACACAAAAAGAATACCGATGATGTTCATATGTGCATTGATCCAAGGGATCTGAACAAGGCACTAATGCAACCTCACCATCCCATCCGAACTGTGGAGGAAGTAGCTGCTCAGATGTCTGGAGCAACCATCTTCTCAGTTCTGGATGCAAAGAGCTCCTTCTGGCAAATCAAACTAGATCCTGCCTCATCTCTTCTCACTACATTTGCAACACCTTTCGGCAGATTCACATTCTTGAGAATGCCCTTTGGTATCAACACCGCCTCTCACACGAGTGTCCTCAGGCAGCCTCTGAATGCTGGACACTGGGAGACCTGTGTCTCTGAGTGGGAGACCAGAGATCACATTAACATGTGTATTAACAAACATGCCACGTTGGCCCAGTTTATTTTTCTTATCATTGTTGTGAGGAGACCATAAATAGCATTTGTATTTTCTGTTGTACAGTTCATTTGCTGTTATGGATAAAAAGTCTTTTTTTGTTTCAAAATAGCTGATAACTATTCGCTGACAGCTGCCAACATCTGCGAACTAATATAATTCTATAAAGTGGTTCTATATAGTGTGTA